TCGGATGCTGAGTGTTGGAACCATTTTCGGTGGAAGCCATCAGTCCAGTAGGTTGATTATTCTTCTTGCGACTATTAGATCCGGGTATAAAAAGTACACGGGAATCCTACGAACTGATATGAATTTTTTCAGTTCTTACAAATAATTTAAAAATAGAAAATTACAATTGAACTGAAAAAAAAATACAAATGAAAAATAAATTAAAACTTAAAAACACAAACGGAAAGATTTTAGTCGAGGCGAGTAAAACTCTTTCCGCAAGAAGAATACGCCCCGTGTGGCAGCTAACGGTTCTGGCGTAACTTCCCCAAAGATACAACGGCAAACGTCTCTAAATATGTAGCACACCGAATTTATGAGCTCCGGCGAACTGGAACAGAGTCGAGAATTGAGCACTTAAAAATAGAAATAAAATTATATCTATTTTTATTACAATTTGTTTTTCTTTCCCTTCTTTTTACTTCCTTTCTTTCTTGTGTTTTCGTATCTTTGCTGATTTTAGTCCTCCCATATTTATAAATGTAGTGGATCAAGGTGAAGACTTTTCACACGCATAACAATCATGAATTTGTTGAGAAAATGAGTTGTAAGATGCCATTAGTTGTAAGATGCCATTAGTTGGAAAATGACATTATTTGACAATCACATGTGATGACTAGTTGTGGATTAAAATAATCACAAACACTTTTACACTCAACTAATCAATAACACTTTTACACTCAACTAATATATATATATACATATATATATATATAAGGAAAGACTACAGTACCGTTACAAAACCATTCCGTGAGGACTTTTAGCCGTAGATTATTTATCCTACACTAATCTACATGTGTATGATTGTATCTAACAGTTAAAACCCCGATGGAATGATTCTGTAACGGAACTGTAGTCTTTTTCATATATACATAGAAATATGATCATATGAGAACGGGCTAGAGTGAAAGAAATAAGAATAGATAGTAGGAATCTGATGTGATATATCAACCCTCCAGACACAATCAAAGGGTCCAGCTTTGGTCAAAGGGGCGGTGACATTGTTATTATCATGTGGACTTTGAATTTTTCACACGGGGGTATTTTGGTCATTGCAAAAAATGCACTGTTACGTTAATGTGTATTCTGGCAGTCATTAATGTGCACTTAGTCTAACACTATTATGCATTCTGTAGCACGGGTATTCTAATGTGCATATTTATACACAATATTGTGCACTTTACTTATCAATAATGTGTATTTATTAAATTTTTGATAAATTACATATTTAACTCATGAACTAAATTACAATATAAATAAAAATTTCTAAAATTACATATAAGTCCTTGAGATTTGTCTAAATTTTTAAATGAAAGCCCAAAAATTAAATCGGATCCATTTCCTGCTAGCCATCGTCCGCCGGTGCCTAAGCCACTGCGCCCTTTGCATCATCATTCTCCTCGTCGTTGTCTTCGCCAATCCATGTTTTGGATGAGATTGTTGTGCATGCATGAGCTCCAAACCACCGGAATTCCAAGGATGTGATTCCATTTTCCGCCCTCTGGAATGCGATCAATTTTCGCAACCCAATCTCCTCTCCGTCGATAAGCTCTTCTATGATGTTTCATCCTCTTCTGCCTGCTCGATCTCTCTAGCGATCCACCGATGACGCCACCGTAAGAGGAACGTGGTCCGGCTATTTGAGCAGCTCGGGCATCAGATCTGGACCATTGTCTCGATCGGAAATCTGACGACTGACGACGTTGAGGAGATGATAGAGAAGGTGTTGGCGCTCGATCGGGCGTACCCACTTCCCCTGCAAGGCGGCGCCATGCTGGAGAAATTCTCGGGTCAAGCGGCGCCATTCTTGTAGTTAATTAATTAGTTGTAATTGTCTAAAAAATTAGTATCATACATTTAATACGTGTGTGATTGATAACATAAATTGTAGGGTTCTTGAAAGTTTGATATGTGACATAAAGTATTTTATATATTAATAATAATTTATTTTTTATATTAGATTATGAATTTTTTTTTAAAAAAAAAATGTCTTGACAGAAAAGTACATGTGAAAATATCTCAACACGAGTTAGTTTCAATCCAATATATCTCCGCTGAGTTCTAATATTGTTGGGCCGAAACAAAATGCAATATAAAATCCAACGATGATATTATAGAGCGATGTCAATGTCTATAACGTCCATTTATTTCTTGAACACGAGTTAGTCACACGATTTGTTTTGTCATGTCCCATATTAGAAGGTGTCCATGTCTATAACGTCCACTTATTTCTTGAAATACAAAATATTATTTTTATTATTTTTTATACTATATATATTTTGGGATTATATAATTACATATTTCACAATTAATTAAGAATGACTATAGATATCTCTATTTTCTATTGCATTCATACAATAGTAAAAAAATATTTTTTTTGGATATTACAAAGATACATCAAATATTTTAAAAAATCAAATCCCATGAAATAAAACCCTCCTCCAAAATGGTCCTGCGATATATTTAAAAATTTTAATACTATATGAATAAATATAACTTATAACACTCTATGTTTATAATTTAATATCATTACCTAACTTATAATTGTAATAATATATGCATATAAATAACTTGTAATATTTTATATATATTTGTGCAAATGCACAGGTTCCAATACTAGTAATAGTATATAAACCAATGTTATTTATACATGATATATAAAGTTAATTGTTACGGTATTAATTTATGCTTTTATCACTCAAATTTAGAAACATAATCTAAATATTATTAGTGCAAAATATAGATTATTTATAATAGATTCATAGATATATAAATCTATATCTATATAAAAATATTAAGTATTTGCTAAAATACTTAATATTTTTTTGGGAAAAATGTTAAGTACTTTAAGAAGGTGAACATATTGGATCTTGGAGAGTGACACTCCAAGAAGGTGACATCATCCTCGGCTTGTACTTTCAGATTATAACTCGACTTTGATAATTAATCGTAAGTTTCCATTTTTATTTTTTAATTTTTTTTTGTCTATAGATGTGAATTATATGATTGATGTGATTGTTATAGTTGATCCGAGATGACGAGCTAAATTGAATTTGTGGGGATAGGGGATAATTGTTATGGTTCTTGTGATATCTTGTTTTTGAAATTGTTCAATCTATGCGAGTTGTTTGATTCAATAGTTAGTTGATTGAGCATCGTCTAATCTAGACTAATAACTTTTAGAACAAATGAGAGGAGATGTTCAAACCTAGTTTGTGTAGAGTATGTATGTTCGTAATTATATTGCCTACGTGTTATTTTTTTTTGACAATTTATCGTATGTTTGTTCTCTTGCTATGAAAAGTTATTTGAAAAATCTCTGTACAAGTAGGTTAGTCGAACCTCTTAACTGAATAATCAATTTTCTGGTATTTGTGTTTGGAATTAGCAATGATTATCCCAGACTCTTTAGCCTTTTATCATTATCTAGTACTCGTTTGAAGTCTGAAGACTGAGTACTCAAGTTCTTTGAATTGTTAAAACAAACTCAAACCAATCTAAATCATAGGAGTTAGGACTTAATTCCATCTTTTTGTGTTGGAATATACGTGCGAAATAATCCGGCTTGCATTTCTTGAGATACGACTCCAGGGACTGATTCCTTTGGATTTACTCCAGTAAAAGGATCGTAATATCTATCTTACTCCTATAAAAGATGGTAATATTGTATGTGTTTTAGAGAAATTTTCATATGATATAATTTCTATTTTATGCCTCTAATGGATAGTGTGATAGACCTTTTCATTTATTTATAGGAATTTGATTTATAATTATAAATGTATAAGAATTTGATTTATAAATTTATTAAAAGTTTTGTTTCACGTTAAGTATATAAACAATATTATAAAACAATTTAGGTGTTTTAAGACATTTTTTATTAATAATATAGAAAAAAAAAAGTTATTTCACACCTCTTACAAGAATAGTATATTTTAGGTATTTCTACACATCTTATATACCATTTTAGGTATTTCTACACATGCTATATACCACTTAGGTGTTTTTAATATTTTGGAAAAATTGCACTATTCGTCCACTAACTATATCCTCGTTGCATTTTCGTCCTTTAATTGTTTCCGGTTTACTTTTGGTACACTAACATTTTTTTTTTGGTAATTTTAGTCCAAATCGACATTCCCCCAGGATATGTAGTCCACTGACTTAGTGTCAACGATCAAACTTGACTGTCGTGGATTGTGGGGATAGGGCACGTCAATCCTCCTACCCCACCCCTCCTCGAGGATTAGTCCCAACCCTCTTAATGTGGATCTTGTAGGCTGTTAGGCCTGTAACCGTGAAGGGCTGGCAATTCGTAGTGAAATCTTAGAGTGAACGTGGGATACCTTAAAAAAATAAATAAATAAAAAAACTCAAACACTTTAATGTTTTTTCACTTGGGCATTTAACTTATTCAGCAATGTTTTTTGTTTTTTATTTTTTTCACTTATTAATCTGTATACATTTATTATTATTATTATTATTATTATTATTATTATTATTATTATTATTATTATTATTATTATTGTCACTTGGGCAATTGACTTTAATATCTTCAATTTTTTGTACATGTATACACTTTCTTGAAAGCCCTTACTATTTTTTACGTTATAATTTTTGTACATTTACACAATTTCTCGAAAATCAGTGAAGAATTTGACTTAATAACCTCCGCCACCCTGATGTTTAATCACTTGGACTTGGTCATTTGACTCAACAACCAAGTTGAACACCAGTAATACCATCAGTAATGAAAATCTAGAACATCACTAAATTACACATTTCTCCAGCAATTTCTCCTCACCCATGATAGAAAAATTCAGGCCCTGAGAACCAAGACAGACAGAAACACTATATTTCATTCTTCACATATATTTTTTTTTTTATGAAAGCTCAAGTCACAAGTAAACTGGAATATTCCATTTTGTTTAATTAATAATAGTTACTATAAATTATAAATCCAGTTAAGGATCACGAGGGCCGTCTGAGGACTGAGTCTTCCTCAAGTTCCAGTGGAGTCCATCGTGTATGCTGCGTAGGAAATCGCAGGTGGAGTCCACCTGGCAGGCTGTGGGGACGGGCCATGGGGCCATACTGCAGACAAGCGCATCCCCAGGCGCCAGCTGTGTCCGGCCTTTGCCATCAAACGACACCCAGGCGTGGCTCCTGCTGTTGAAAGGCACCACCACACGGAGAGTCACGTGCTCTGGGAGTATCAGTGGCCGAAAGGACAGAGAGTGGGGGCAGATTGGCGTGAAAAGGATTCCCGGGACCTATTGTCATAGATATAAGGTGGTGGTTAAAAGTTAAAACAGCGTTGCTATTAGCTATCTACGTATGTATATATATATATAATATTTATTCCTCAAAGAGCGGTTTACAGTTAATTGATTGACCATAGCAAAAAGTTCTATTCTTCGACGTTGGAGAAATGGAAATGGAATTTCGCAAAATCAAAATTAGTGACATCAACTCGGTTCAGTGATTCAGTCTTGAATCAGCTTTGTGCATATATGGGAAACTTGTTTGAGTATGGGTTTTAACGAGCAAATCTTGGAAGGAAAAAGGCCATTATTTGAGCCAAGAATCTGAACTCATACAGAATCAAGAATGCATTGGTACTCATTTAATCCTGTCTCGGAAGGTTCAGCTCAATTGAAAATCTAGTGACTAGGAATTTGATGCGAAGAGATTCTCTTTACATTGGTACTCATTTCTAAAAAAGGTCCTTCCGATGATATATAATTCTAGTTTCTTATTTTGCACCACAGATTACAATCATTGCCAGCAAAATGACTCAGGGATTCATTGTTTTGCCATTCCATTAAAACTCAGATAGCTTATGTAATCTAATTATCGGAATTTTGTAATTGTAGAGTAAAGTTCCATGAGCATATATACCACCAATAAAGGGGTCCATAGCTCAGCGGTAGAGCATTTGACTGCAGATCAAGAGGTCACCGGTTCGATCCCGGTTNAGAAAAAAAACTACAATGAAAAAAGCAAGTCAGCTATATATCGATTTGTTGTACTCCTCAAATCACATTCACAATTTGGCTACAAGGAAAGGAAACTCATTGATTAAAATATTATTTTGTCAGTAGTCTTAATGTACAAGAGACTAAGACTCCACTTGAATATTATAAAACTTTTATTGAACATTGTACACTTTCTTGCGTATTATGAACTTTTATTGAATATTGCATCTTATAATATAATATTCTCCAAATAAATATATATCGTGCTTTGCACGTACTATATATAGCCCGTACATTTTTCTTTATTCGTGTATATAATTATAAGCCTGCATAAATAGCCTTAAAATTGTGCACTCCGTGCATCGCACGGGCTCTGTACTAGTTGTAACTAAAGGACAATATAATAAGCGTGAATAAATTCGCAACCAAATCTATTTTCAAGACATAATTTGAACAAAACCCTACCCCCAAATCCCATCGTCTCCAAATCCCATCGTCTTTCGCTTCAAATTCGGCGGATCGCCTTCCTCAGCAGCGTCGTAGCACGGCCAGGGGTCGTCCTTGACCGCCCGGCTCGCCCACGACAAAACTCTCCTTCGATATGTTGCCATTGATTGTTCGCGATTGAAGGTCTTCTACCCGGTTTCTGATGAGTTCCCGAACGGTGGTGGCGTCCATCGCGGTCGGAGTTTGGCCTGAGATTGGGGTCATCTCCTCAATTGTCGGTGGAGCTCTGATTAGTGGCGGTAAGACCATTTATCTTCTCCTTATCAGTTATTGTGGTACTTGGCTTTTTCCGGTGGGGTTTCGCCTCTTCGGGTGGAGCGTGGGCCTCTGTTCGTCGGCAGTCGGTGGAGATGTCGGGTGGAGAGTGAGTCATAGGGTGGAGCGGGACCCAGGCTACTGCTGCTTCCAGTCGTGGTGGTAGGGGTTGCGGACTGAGCCATCCTCACCTTCCTGTTCGACTAGTGGTGTTAGTCGAGGGTAATCTGGTGCTCCGACGCTCGGCTAGTGGTGTTAGGCGTGCTCGGGAGATGCTAGAGTAGGTGCGAGTTTGGTTGTCCTCCCGGTTGAGGCGAGTTGTTTTGGAGTGTAGTTTGTGTTCGGGCTCGACTTCTTGTATAGGCCTTGTGGCAGTTTCGGGAGCCGTCCCTGGACTTGGATTATCCTCTGATATCGACCGTTCTCCGCTGGTTCGAGCTGGCTGTCTTGCTGTGGAAGGGCTTTTATTTAGCTGTGGTTTTCTTTCTTTTGTTTTGTAGTAGATTGGTTTGTTGTTATTGTTTTCGTGTGTTCGTTTCTGTGTTTGTGTTTGTTGTTGTGTTTTAGGTTTGGACCGTTGGCCTCTGTGCACCCGAGTGTCATTTTCATTACTCTGTGGGGGTCCGACACTCGGGAATTACCCTGTGGGGGTCTTGTGTTGTTGTTTTTTGTTGTTTTGTGTTTTATTTTTATTTTTTTTTAGTGTTCTAGAGTTTTACCCCGTTGGGGTCGGTTCTAGGCGGTCTTTTGATCTGTCCTCCCACTTTTCAGCTATTGGCTGCTTGTATTCAGTTGTTGGCTGTTTGTAATCAGCTGGTGGCTACTTTATGCACATTTGTGCGTTATATATAATAT